GGTCCCTTTCACAAGTGCTGCTCTCCAGCCACTTGTGAAAGGGACCTTGGGGTGCTGGTTGACTGCAGGCTAAACATGAGTCAGCAGTGTGATGTGGTGGTCAAGAGGGCGAACGCCACCCTTGGTTTCATAGCCAGAAGTGTGGCTTCTAGATCAAGAGAGGTATTACTACCACTCTATATGACTCTGGTGCGCCCACAACTGGAGTATTGTGTTCAGTTTTGGGCCCCTCATTACAGAAAGGATATAGCCAGGTTAGAGTCAGTGCAGCGTAGGGCCACAAGGTTGGTGGCTGGTTTGCAGGGGATGGGGTATGAGGTGAGACTGAGGGAAGTGGGTCTCTTCAGCCTGGAGAAGAGGAGACTCAGAGAGGATATGTTGGTGACATACAGGCATGTGAGTGTCACACGGAGATGGGTAGAGACCTGTTCTCCCCTGCAGAGGAAGGCAGGACATACTCCAACGGAGCAAAGTGCAGGGAGCCAAGGTTCCATTTGGATGCCAGGAAGCACTTCCTGACAGTCAGGACCCCGAGGGTGTGGAATGGGCTTCCATGAGAGGTCGTTGAGGGCCCATTGGTGAGGGTGTTTAAAGATAGGGTGGACATGCACATGGTGGGCATGTCGTGAGCGGAGCCAGCTGGTGCTGGAGGTCAGACTAGATGGCCCAGGAGACCCCTTCTGACTCACTCTGTTTCTGTGTTTCTACTTTTTGGTGCCAGGCTAAAACATTTTTATTTTTCCAGAATCTTAATTGTTGAATAAAATAAAGTTTTATGTCATTTTAGACTGCATTTTAAACTGTTATTGGGTCACTACGGACTTTTAATTGTTATTAATTATCTATGTATTTTACTCTAATTTGTTTGTGATTGGTGTGTTATGGTTTATATTATATCTATGCTAACTGTGTTGTATGGTTTTATTGTAATGGGTCTTTTAAAATTTTATTATAAACAGTTCAGAGAGCCTTTTGGCTAATGTGGAAGGTATAGAAAAGTTTTAATAAAAGAAAGCAAATTAAAAATCTGTTTTAAACTAAGTGCTTGATATTTTATCATTCTGTATGTTGCAATTTTAGCTTTTGTGAACTACCCAGAACTACAGCAGCAGCACCATTTCTGTAACACCCAATAACTGAAGCTCTCTGGACAGTTTACAGCAGTACATTATCATCTCTTAATATGTATGTCAAAGCTTTCACAAAGACGAAGGACGAGATCTCTTCTCAGTCATACCAGAGTATAGGACACAGAATAATCAATTCAAGCTGCAACAACCCAGTTTCAGGGAAAATTTCCTTACTGTCAGAGCAATATGACAGAGGAACTAGTTGCCTAGAGAGGTGGTGGGTTCTCCCACACTAAAGACATTCAAGGTGAAACTGAATTGTCATCTGAGTGGCATTGTGTAAACTGGTGTCCTGCAACAAGAGGGGGTTGGATCCGATGGCCTTCTTGACCCCTTCCAACTCTACTTATTCTATGATAAAAACGATATAACAAATGTGCCATAAAATAAAAAAGAAACAAAATATTACAAACAGATAAAATACAGTGTAGAACATTCCTTTAGAAAAAAAATGATCACCTTGGAAAGGAAATACCTTCCAGCCCAGGAATGTCCAAAATATATTTTAAAAGCCTCAGCATGAAGGGCCATCTTAACCTGGAGCTAAAATGGAGACAGGGTTGGCACCTGCTGGCTTACGGTGAAGTACTTATGCCACGGACAGGGGGCCACCACAGAAAAGCCTCTTGTTGCTGCCTTCTGAGCCTCCCTCAAGTTGGAGCTTGGAGAAAGGCCCCAGATGTTAAGTGCAGTGACCAGGTGGATTGCAGTTAGGAGAGGCACACCATCAAGCTTTCAGGTCCTCAGCTGTGTAAGGCTTTGTAGGTTAAAGCAACTGGGTGACTTTGGGCCAGTCACTCCTTCTCAGCCTCACCTACCTTACTAAAGCAACAATACATCTCTAAGCCCCAGAGTAGTTATTTTGTGCCGCTGAAGCTCCATGAAGGGGTGACAGAACTGGAAAAGGGGTACAGAACAGAGGGAAGCTAAAGACATCAAGAAATTCAAACAGAAGATAGTGAGAAAAGCCATGCTGGATCAGGCCAATGGTCCATTTAGTCCAGCATTTCATTCACACAGTGACAAACCAGCTGCCCCCAGGGCCTCTCAAACAGTATGACTGCAACAGCTCCCTCCTGCTCAAGCTCCCAAGCAACTGCTGCATCTGACTTCCATGCTCCTTTAGTTTTCTTTGAAATCTTTCCATAAACTAAAATTTCCCATGTTTTACCAAATTAATCCAGAATATGTGCCATTATATTATACATTTTAATTGTAAGTACTAATAGAAGTTGCAGATATGTGTCACTGCTTCTTCCCCCAGCAGAGGTGCTTCTTAAAACAGTGATGCCTGGTCATATAAGTGCACCACTGAAGAAGGGTATGTTTGTTTCCTTAGACTGATAGTTTTACTCATCTGCAAGTTTATTCTGATTTTAAATAAAATCAATTAAAATTGATTTGACTAATTTGCCAAGATATCTTTAACTGGAAAACTGACCTACATGAGTGTGCATGTGTGCATACACACACACACCATCTTTCTGTCCAAACATGCACATTTGCACTTACACACAGACTGAGCAGGGGAGGGAGGGAGGGAAACCTATTCCTATTAGTTTTCCCAGTTACCTTAATTCGAGATTTCATTCTTCTGGTAACTTTGGGAGCCTTTAGAAGTTCAGCCTTCACCTTTGGAGAAGATTCCTCAAAGACCACAAATGAAGGCTTGCGGACGAGGCTTGCCTTGACTGCTGAGGATGGCCCTCTCTTTGAGGCCCGAAGGGATTTCTGTGCTGGGGTCTGGTGCTCAACAGGAGGCCCAAGAACAATTATAGGAACTTCTGAGTCTGAGTCAGCCAGGGCAAATGGATCATTAAGTCCTGACACAGGAACAGGCTTGGTTTCTTGGATTCTCTTAGGCTTTGCTTTAGGGGCTGCACCTGGCTGCCTCCGTGTCTTGCTCTTCAGGGGCAGTGTACAAAGTGCATCAAGTGTCGTCTTTGCCACAGTCAGCTTGTTTTCTTGGCTTCCCTCCAGAGACAATGGGGACTTCCAGGACCAAGCACTAGAAAAAATGTTTTTCAAACAGCTGTCTTGTCTGGAAGCCAGGACAGAGATGGTAGCTACAGCTTTGGCAAGTAGCAGCCAGGCCCTCTGGTATTTGAGTCCAGGCAACTGAGGTCCTTTGGAAGAGAGAAAGTTCAAGCCAGTTTCCAGAAGCTTCCAAAGCTGCTTTTTAGGTCTTCTGGTATACAGGCCTTGTTTGGCCAGTGCTACATAGATACGGGCTACCAAATGGTCAAAAAGCTTGACTGTGGACTGAGGCTGGACAACAGCCTCCTTCCCTTTGCCTTGAGAGACACAGGCCAGCATGTCAGAGATGCGTAAAGCTGCAGCAGTGCACCGGCTCAGGCTGCACTCCAGGAGATGCAGCCCTTCTCCCTTGTCCCCAAAGGCCAGCTCCATCTCAGCATCAGTGACCAGCCAGCAAAGGCAGACACCCAAAAGAACCACGTCGGAGCACAGCAAGCAGCAGCATGTGTCCAGGTGCATAAGGAAGCTGGGCCGCTTCTTCTGCTCTGGCCTCAGCACTGGTGAGGTGCTTAGAGAGGTCTCCTTCTGCATGGAGACTGTGTCTACGAACTCGAGGGAAAACTCTTTCAAGAATGGCGGCTCTTCTGACGGGTAAAAGCACTGACCTTGAGGTTTCTTTTCCTTAAGCCCTCTTTTTTTGGGCCTGATTTTCACATCAACTTTGTTCTCTTTTGTTTCAAATACTGGAAGCAGAAGATATGGGCTCATATAACATTTCATTTGCAGATTTGGAGCACAAATAAATTGAGCACAAAAATGAATAAATATTAAAGCAGAATAAAAAACATTTCAAGCCCTCATAGAGCTTAACATAAACCCGATCCAGCCCCTCCAAAGGGAAAACTAATCTTCACTAATCACCACGAAGGGGAGGGAAGGTTCCCCTCCTTAGGGCAGCATGTTATCACCCATGTTGTTCAGAGGGCTGCTCCCAGTATTAAGCAGGAGAGACCTACATGAATACCATCTGGAGGAAGTTCCCAGGTCAGTGTTAAGATCCCACAACCTCATGTGTCCAGCCTGGGGGGTGTTTACTTGCACTGTGAAAACTACTAAATTATGACCTGGGTTGTGTGCGCTTCCCCTTCACCTACGGAAGCCAGCTTATTCTTACCCAGTTAGGGATACAGCTGGGCCACCAACCAAAGCTGGTCGAGGGAGCTCCACACCACTAAGGCCACGTGAGCCTCAAATAAGAAAGGCTGCAGGGGAGTCTAAAGCTATGAACCTGTCCTTTCATGGAGAAAGCAACCCCATCCACAACAGGCTGAAGCATTCTCCATCCAGTCAGAAGAACCACCCACTAACAGCATTTCAGTCTTGCCTGGACTGAGTGTCAGTTTATTAGCCTTTCTTCCAGTCTACTGTCACAGCCAGACACTGATTTAGCCCACCCACAGCCTTGCCTGATGAAAATGAAAAGGAGAAATAGAGTGCACTATGGTAATGCACCTGGAAACTGCCACTCAAAAATTTATCCCGATGTTAAACAACATGGGGAATAAAACCAACTCTTGCAGAACCCCAAACAACAACATCCCCAAACCTCATCTTCTGCAGCCAGCCTGCCAAGTAGGAGAGCCACTGCAATGCCCCTCGCTCTCTGCTTACGCAGCTGCCCCAGAATGATCCCATGGCCAATGGCATCAAATCTGCTGAGAAATCACTGAGAATAAAAAAGCTCCCCACATGCCCCTTTTTTCTGACGTAGGTCACCATACAGAGTGACCAAGGCTGTTTGAGCCAAAACCCAGACCAAACCTTGACTGACAGGGATGCAGATAATCTGTCTTCTCTATGAGCCTGGGCAAACAGCAGCTCCAGGGCCTTGCTTGGGAAAGGATCACTAGCTAGCAGCCTAAAGTTGCTAAGCTCTTTTGGGCCCAGGGGGATTTCTCCAGGAATGGCCTCACTATTGCCTCTTTCAGGCAGCCTCAACCCACCCCCTCTTGCAAGGAGGCAAGCATCACTTCCCTGGCCCAGCAGGCTGTCCCCCCTCCCCCCACCAGATCTAAGGATTTATTAAGTCATGAGGGGCAAGGATCTAAGATGGAGGCATCCGCACAAACCTGTCCAGCCATCTTGCCACCATCCCAGAACTCTTGCAGGGGTGAGGTCTACGCTGGCTTCGAGAGAGACTGACTAATCTACCCCCTCAAGTTACATCCAGAATGGCTTCTACCAGCAAACCAGAACTCACTTTCTCCTTCCCAGTAATAAAAGGTTCCCAGCTCTGCCATTCTGCCCTGCTTAGCCTAGAAGACAGTGGAGACTTGCCTGTGCCCGACTCAAGAAGAAAGAGGGCCTGGTCAAGGTCTGAGCGACACAGCTCCTGCTTGTTGCACTGCAGTTCTAACCCACTCTTCAGGACCAGAAAGCGAGCACACCTGAGAGGAGAGACAGCAGGAATTTTCTTCAGCAAACAGATGACAGCTTCCACCTCCATTGGTTTGAAGGCAGGTTTTGTTCTCCCCGTCTGCCAGCCCTTGAGAGTGGCATCAACCAATTGACTCATCATCCAAGCACAACATGCAGCATTCCAGGATACATTCAAGGCAGCCACTTCAGTGATATGGCTCTCGTTGATCTATGTCAATTCCCCAAACCAAGCACGGCCTGCAGCTAGAATTCGTGAGCCAATCTTGTTGAAAAGGGTCACAGTCAACAGGAATTAACTTCAAATCCAGGTTAGTTAGCCATACCTTTGGGTTCTGCCCATGCAAAACTTCAGGCTTGGGACCTAGCTGATCTTTCTCCAGAACACCCCCACTTTCTACTAACTACTGATCATCTGGTGATTTCCTGGGTTTTGTGCAGTTTTTCTTTCATTCTAAAAGGTTGAAATGCCTCTTTCAAGGCTTAATTACTTGCAGTGAAAGATTTAAGCTAAAATATCTTAGTATTGTGTGTTTTGGAGCCCCTTTCACCTTTGGTTGCACCCAGCTGAAATGTCTCTAATATAATTTGACACTTATACTGATAGAAGTTCTACCTTCCTGATATAGACCAACACACACACACACACACACACACACACACAATAATTACCATCGAATTGATTGCAGTTTCATGGATATTTTGAGTGTTTCCAGACAGACAGCTTTAGCTTCACTTATAACCTCAATCTGGCTCAGGAGGGAAACAAAGCTCTCAGAACAAATGAACATGTCAGCCAGCACCTGCCACTTCTGCACCAGGTTATCACCTGAGAAGAGAGGAACAAATTTGGGGAGGGGCACAGGACCCAGAAAGCAGTTAGCTACAGGGAAGCGTAAGTTTATATTAATTGCAAAAGAGATAGAGTGCTGAAGTGCAGATACAGTTCCCCGTGGATTAAGACGAGGCAGCTTGCTCCAGCATCCTTAGAAGCCTGCTGCTCTCTGGAAACTCTGCGGAACAGGGCAACCATTCTCATCACCCACAGCTGGCTAGGATATACAATACAAGCGGCATTGCCTAGTACTAAGATTTCACAATCTTGGATCCCATGTGGTTGGATGGGAAGAAAGTACGTTGCAGCATGGGAGGAAGGCAGACTATTCATGTTGCAACTCAAGAGGGTGCAACATGGAGCAGTGGGGCTCCATCTCTCATCTAGGCACTGGGTGCTGGCCTGCTTAGCTGCAGTGAGGTTTCATTCTAGGCCTTCAGACCAGAGTCTGGTCTCACCTACGAGGAGTGTTGAGAAATAAGCGTGTTTCCTAGCAGATGCCGCTCTGCCTTTTTAGAATGCCCAGGAAACAGCATATTCATACTAATTCCAGGTACACCAGCTCTTTTCCTTGCAAGTAAATTCCCCTTATACCTTTTACTGTGCTGTGATTAAAAATATACAGCCAGATAAAATGGCTTTAGGAACCAAGTCCAGAAAATGGACCACCGACTGGTTATTCCTCAATGACAGAGTGTGAAGCTTTTCCTCAAACAGGGGAGTGTGTAATTGTGTGGGATTAGCTTGCTTACTGGCCAAGGCTGTGACTAAAAACCTGTTTGACAAGAAGAGACATAGCTATCTTAGTAGGCATGTGTCCTGCTTGCCCATCCTCATGGCAGAAGGCTGTGGGTTCAATCCCCAGCATTTCCAGTGAAGACAGATTCAGATGACAGGTTATAGGGAGCATTCCTCTCTTCCTAAGACTAAGGAAGAGACTACAGGGAGACTAAGGAGAGTTGTAGTTTGCCTATGTAGACAGTGCTGGTAGGCCTGTATGGTGAGTCCATGCAGGGTGGTCGGGGTGGGGTAACCCTCCAGACTTTTCCAGGTCAGTTCTCCAGATTTCATTCTGTTTGCCTGCAGCTAACATCAAATCTAATTGTCTCAAGTCAAGCCAGTGCATACATTTCTTTTTTTCCCCTCAACCGTAGCAATTTCTGCTTTTTTTGTTTGGGACTTGATGTTTGTGCAAATTGGTTTTTGAAAATCAATCTTTCACAGGTATGCACCAGTGTCCTTTCAAAGATTTCAGATGGCAGGCCTTGCTGGTCAATGTCCTGGAAAGCATTTCCTGTCATAATGAAATAGGTACCAACCAGGAAGGCTGGTCGATCCAGAAACATTGACCCAGAAGGACTGCAAATAGGTTAACCTGTTACTCTGTGAGCAAATTGTCAAGATAAACCAAAGCTACACAAAGATTTTTCCATGCAAAACAGTGGCGTGTATATCGCCCTCCTTGTGGCAAGATACTCTAGGGGTTTGTTTGGTTTTTTGGCTTGGACCCAACAGTGTACCGCACCTTCGCCCAAGCCTCTGGGTGCTCAGGACAGCTGAAAAGTACAAGCCACCCCATTTACAGAAACCCAGAGTTTTAAGTACAAGCCTCCTTGTAAAGTGGGATTCTTTGAAAGGGCTAATCAGATTTTTTTTTTGACAAGCACATAAGCATATCTGCATTTCTCAAAAATGCTGTTTACCCCATCAAAAATATTAAAAGGAATATAATTTCCTATTTGCATAAAAGGGGAAGCACTGAAAGAAGCACAAATGATTCCTGGAATAACAACGACAACAGAAAAGAGTACTGCCTGTCGCTGCTTTCACATAAAAATTCACATAAAAACTGTGAAATTCTGTCAGGCTTACATGGAATTCCCTGCATTGTACATCCCTATGTGGGTTAGGCAAACAAGTCATTCAACTTGGTATGAGTGTGTAATGCACCACGCACATCAATGGTGCTACGTATATGAGTAATAATCACCACCAGCACCCACTACTTCTATTTTCAGTACAAAACAGGCTAGATAATATAAAGAGCCTTGGCTGAAGAGGAGGTTTACAAGTATTGGCAGACGGAAGAAAAATTTCCACCTGGACCTATTTATCCCAAGCTTAGAGAAACATATCAAGGGTACAAGATTGCAAGTACAGCTGAACACTTTGGAGGAAGGTACTCCTTTTTTACCATGATCAACAAATTGATGCTCAGCAACCTCTTTAGCCGTGTCACAGTTAATCAGTGAGAAGTTCAAGATAATACTGCGGTAAAGTTTATGTGCATCACTCAAAGCCCTTTCAGGGGTCTTCCATCCTGCAGAGAAGACAAAAAAGAACTGTATATTACCTGGGTGTTGTTTTCATGCTTTGGGGAACACTTTCCACAAGGAACCTACCTGCCCTGATGCCTTTGCAAGAAAGAACAGACTGTCGATACAGATCAGTAAAACCAAGGAAAGGAAAGCCTTGGTGAGCTATCAAAGAATTCAAAGGCTCCAAGGAACACAGTTTGAATATCACTGCATCATCCCGAAGAAGAGGGAGCAGGTATAATTTCACCAACACTGTTTGCCCCAGTGCAACATGCCCCCTGCTTCCTAAACTAATGATGCAAAACAGTTTCCACAAGGTATGGTATACTACTGGAACCCTTCATCTCTGCTAGAAGGGTGGCACTCACAAGAACCCCAGAACTGCAGAATGTCAGGCAGTTCTAATCATGCCACCCTATCTATTATCTAAGCTGCCTCTTTCTTCTCCAGCTTGGACTTATATGATGTTCACCACCACAGAGATGGAGGCCAAACCCAGGACCTGTATCATAAGCAAAAGGGTACCTTTAAGGCTGCATATCCCACCGTAACTTTGGAATGGAGTGCTTTGCTATGACATACAAACACCTGGCTACCCTTTTTGGCTCCAAAAGCACTCCAAAACTTCAATTCATTCACAATTCATTTATACTGTCAGACGCATACCAAAAGGAGTGCAGATTAATAGCAAGGAGGAGATGGAGGGACACTTTGCACACTTACCCTGAGAGTGGAGTTTTTGCCTGAGCACCAATGGAAGAGTGGAGGGAGGCAGACCAAGATATGTGGCTGTTAACTGGAGAGTGCTGGCTCGTAGTAGGTACCAAACTTTTGATGACCTTTGCAATGCTGGGTTTTGCAGGGTTTCTACTAGTAGGCCAAAGCCTTCTTCAATCTATCCATGAAATGAAAAAGATCACCTAGCAAGAAGGCTCTCCGTTCTACAAAGTTATGCTGCCAATGTCTGGTTTAGGCTGCCTTAACTCATGACCAGATTGCAGAACATTCCTAACCCCAGATAAATTTCCTGAAAGTTGAGAAGTGGCTGCAGTTCAAAGATCCTGCATGCTAGACCCAGTAATATTGCAGAGAGTGGAATAACCAACAAGAACACTCCTGTTTACCTTAAGCCAATGTCTAAAATATAAATCCTGTTTCAGGTGAGACTTGAGTGCAAAGGGGATTGCCATATGGAGACCTTGCTAGTGGCAGAGTTAGAGTCTTCATTCACATAAACATCCTACCCTCTTACAGGGCCAGAAAGCACTATTATCCATAGCCCAGTTCTTCTCTGCTTGAATTTTTAACAGCTAGGATATGGCCAATGGGGCAATTCTCCTTTCACCAGCCAGCTCACCTCTGTTGGTCAAGTTAACCTTGAGGAAGCTTTTAAGCACTGTGTTCCCCAACATAAAGCACCTGATATGATCATTTGGCAAGCATCTGAAACAGGCATTTCAAGATAGCATACAAAAACTGCAGAAGAGTTAAACAGGAGTTACAGGGGAGTGGGATGCCTAACAAGATTACTAAGAGATGCCATAGATTAACAAGCATTTGCTGACAGGGTAACAAAAATTGTGAATCTAGAAATTATGCCTTTTTCAGGGTCTATGCAAGGACTCAGTTGTCAAAAGGGCCTTATTCCCACCGTTGCCCTAAAGGATACATTAGGCTGAGGAACAGTGACTGGCCTAAGACTATCCATTGAGTTCCATTACAGTGTGGAAATCCTAACTCCAGCTTCTTCAGTTCAGTTCCAGGAAAAAATAAAATTGCTATGCTATGGAAGTTTCCTTTATGCTTGGTGGTCCTCAAGAACAACAATTGTCTGTTTATGGCCAACTCAGAGGTGGACAGATCTCTCAGATCATCTCTGCTATCCCTACTGAATCAGTGCTTCAGACCTTGAATATTAACAATGTAAACAAATCAGACAGATTTCGAGTAAGAAGAGGGCAACCTAGTTGTGTTGGATGAATAAGACTCTGACACAATAATTTGTCAGAACAACTTCACAAGTTGAGAATGAGAAAGTTACCCAGTCTGGATGACACAAAACAGCTTGTCATTAATTCTTTAACTGATGATGAATCAGTGCACCTCCAGGCATCACTTCGCATACCCACCCTTACTCAGGAATTGTTTTGTGCAAACCAGTGAATGTGGTTTATGCAAAGGCTAAATAACTCCTCCATAACCCATAATTTGTTCTAGAGATTTGCAGAGGTTGTTTAATCATGATGGTCACACAAGATGACAAGTCCCAACCCATACACCATACATACTACAGCCTTACTCTGGGTTAAATAACCCATGTTGTGCTGCCATGACATACAAACTGACTTATAATCAGCAATAGAGGGATGATCTGCTTCTGAATGACTGGACCAAGTATTAGCCATTGCAGAATCTAGCAGGCCTACCTTCAGGGCCTTCCCTAACATAGTGCCCCCCAGATATCTGGGAACAGAATTCCCTGCTGCGCCAACAAGCAAAGGAAATGGGGACTACAGTCAGAAGCATCAGGAAGGTGCCCGGTTGGAGAAGGCTATTCTACAAAGTCCAAACCAACACTTACTTTTCACTTTCTAGCCTCTTTCTCAAGCACAAAAAGCAAGCAAGCCAGTCCCTTAATACCCTGGTTTACTGGTCTCCATGATAGTCCAAGTGTACATGGGAGCATGCCACACATTACCTTGCAGTTTGCTAAGCACAGCTCGCTACGGAGAACAGCTAGGGTCTGATTCATCAACAAGCAGCTGTCACTGTGTTGGTCCAAATGTTGCAAACAGAATTCAGCTTCCATTAAGATGGTCTAAAAGGAACACACACAGTTACCAGAAAAACTAGTAATTCATTGAATTGTAACAGAGTTAAAACAACATTTGTCCTCTTCTCCACAACTGGCCTCTGCAGCTAGAAGTCAGGTCATAAGCGATGGAAAAAAGCACCTGATCTTCAACTCTGTGATCTGCCTATCTGTTTTGCTCACATGCATGTAGGGAGAAGCAAAGCGGGAGTGAGCAGGCTGGGTGCACTTTCATCTTACTCATCTACAATAAACTAGGAAAAGCCAAGCAACATGGCTCTTCAGCAAAACATTTCGGGATGAACCGGCTTGGCCACATTTCACACAGCTGTGAATTTGGGTAATCTGCTCTTCAGTGTTGTCCCTTATTTATGTGTTTGCACTTTAATCGTCACTTTCTCATGTGGACTGCTTATACTTTTGGGAAACTCTCAAGATGGAAAGGCAGAGTATGATTTCCAGAGGAGCTGGTTCAATCCTAATCCAAATTATCCAAGGCTGGCTCCCAGCCTTGGGCCTGACACCTAAGAGGGACTTTTCAGGGGCAGAACAAACTATGCCCCAGATGCAATCCCAGACATTTCCAGTGAGAAGAAGGATGGGTCACTTGTGCCCCTCTGGACATTTTGATCTACCAAAACATGAGCCCTAGACAGCATAGCCAGCAGTGAGGGATAGAGGGAGCTGCAGGTTAAAAAGAAGACAGCACCATAAAGACCACCACAATTTTGCCACCTGCTGAGTGCAAAAGTTTCAGGTATCAGATGGCTACCTGTCAAAGTATGCTGGGCTATGAAGACTAATAGCTTCCATCATGGCTGCATACAGATCCAGCTGAGAGCCCCACCCTCCAGCTAACAGCTGCCACTGCTGAGGCTATGAGAAGGAAAGAAACAGTGGACCTGATTCTGTGCCCAAGAGCTGCTGGATTTTGTTTGCAACTAATATCTAGTGCTTAAACTGGCTTTTCTTTCTCTACCCTTCAATCCCCTTTCCTTTGGTGTTAAGCCTACTGTCTTATTTATTGACTTGGGAAGGAAGAGCTATAAATAAATAAAGGCCAATAAGTTGGCTAGATACAGAAAAGTGTGCTCATCAACCAGATAGTTCTGCTTTTAGCAAACTACTCTTCATGCTCATGCTCACCTCTGCATAGCTAGGGCAGTCCAGCTGGAGAAGTAGCTTGGCAACATGGCACAAAGCGCTGGTCTTTCCGATGGAGTCCTGAAGTGCATCACAGAGAGCTTTGATCAGGAAATAGCTCTCCATGGCTTTCAGAGGCTGTGGAAAAGAAGAGCAATAAATTTAAATACATAGTTGAAGAAAATAACAGCAGCAAGAACATCCACAACAGCCCAGTACAGCAAGGATCGCCTCCTATGGTTGTCTAGGGAACTGGGAAGTACAGACTTGCTCATGGAGTACCCAGGCTCTACAACAGTTACCATCACCTGGCAGGAAGGCCCCCCTGGCTACAAAGCCCCTGTGCTCAGAGGTTATACAGTCATCAACCAAGGAGCAGGTCTGCTTCCAAGCAACCCACCTTCTCTTCTTCATAGCAGGCAGAATGGCATTGCTAGTTTGTCTTCTCAAGATATGCCATGGGGACATAGAAACATAGAAACAGAGCGAGTCAGAAGGGGTCTCCCGGGTCATCTAGTCTGACCTCTGGCACCAGCCGGCTCTGCTCACGACATGCCCACGACATAAAGCAGTCAAGTGCCTATACAACATAGGGAGATTTGTTGCTTCTGTTCCTTAAATTTGGTGGTAGAGGTAAGGAAGCTTCTGGCTGGAGGTGGAATTAAATTTTTGTTGGGTCATTGCCAGCCAGGATCAAACCACCTTATATGCCCCACTGCATTACCCATCCCTATAGCAGAATCACTTTGTTTTCACTATGATGGGAAGAAACTTTACAGACATTTAGGAGCATAAACCTGGATATAGCAGCAAATGGATCTACGCTGGTTCAATTAGAAAAGAACTGCCATGCAACCAAATCAATAAGCATGCAAAGACTGGTTTGGAGCTCTAAAAATGTGTTTTTCTGAATGTAGGTTGTGTGTGCTTCCTTTGGGTAAGGCACACAACGTAGGGTTCTCCACTGACAACACTGAATCACACACACGCAAGGAGCAGCAGCAAGATAACATCAGGAGTGCTGGAAAGCTCAGATGACATTTCCTTGAAGAGTAGTCACAGAGACATCATTTGCACATGAAAGTTCCATGTTGCCCAGGAAAAGGAAACAGCGCTTGCGCAAACAGGTGTTGCAAGCTTTCTTAGGAATGATGCAAGCAAGCACCACTCCTCCCATCTTGTCTCTGCCCCACTTGTTCCCAAAGCTACCTTTGCTGCTCCTCAGCTGTAACCGGGAGGTTCTGAGTGTGTGCATCCACAGCCTGTACTCCCTAGCTCCAGATTTGGCAAGATATTCCAGATATGTCAGTCCAGATATAGGGACATCTATAGCGATAACCTCCAGAGAGAGACTGTCGTCCCCTAGCTCCAGTTTTTTGACCTCCAACCACAGAGGCTAGCAGAAAGAAAGAATGGGTTGGTACCAAAGAAGTGCAGCTACCTGAGTTTACTCTCTGGCCAAGCTATACCACTCTGTACATTTTGGATGAGCCCCTGCAACTAGCACATTGCAGATCATTTGCTCTCCCACAAGCATACATGCAGAAAAGAGCTTGACTCTCCCATCTCTCCAAAATTTAGTGTGGCTTAATAAGCAATATACAAAATGCAACCAGCTCCAAGCAGTAAAAATACAAGTGGAAACAAGTTGATCCTAAAATTATGGACCACTCTGAACCGTGACCTCTTAACTCCCCCAGTTCTCAAACTGGAACTAGAGAAGATTCAGACTGGAGGATAAGGAGAGAGAAGCAGCAAGATATGGAAACCCTTGAAGGAGAGGGTACAGTTTCCATATGGAGGCTTTGTTCTGTTGCCCCCAAGACTTTTCACAATGCCCATAACCATTTTCTAGAGAGAAGAAACAATAGATACACCTTGGGTGAGAGAATGAAGGTGCAGGGAAAAAAAGACTTTGAGAAAGTCAGACCAAAACAAGTCCTGCAGAGTAGTCAGCTCTTCTTACCTTCCCCATAACTCTGTACAAAGCTGCCATGATGTGTAGGGATGCTCTTGTCTGCTCAATGCTACGCACAGCTGGGATTCCGCCCTTGGAGAGGAGCTGCTTCCACAAAGCAAGAGCATCATCCAAACATTTTGATTGCACTGAAAAGGAAGCACAGCAGTGGGCAAGTAAATGTGTGGATACCCTCCTCTTAACTTAGGACTAACCCAGTTCTTTGTTCAGATGCCACAGCTTCAGTGCCTCACAAGTTCAGGGCCTGGCTTGCCACCAGAAGGTGGCAAGTTGGTGCTAATAAGTACAGTTAGAGTTAATAAGCAACCACTTAATGTTTCCCCTCCTGAGCAGGAGAAAAGATAGATTCTCTGAGCCTTCCAAGGCCAGATTCATGGTGCTGTTTTGTAATGTGTTTAAAAAATACACAGCTGGAGCAAGGAGTACAGCAGCAACCTAGGCCATTCCCAGCTCTTACAAACAAGAAATGAATAGGGTGATAAACTAGTGTCTTAACTGTGTGTCAGGCTCATATAAATGAATGTCTCCAAGGCAGAAATAGTCATATCCACTAAGAACTAGCATGCCAAGCCCCAGGAAGCTACCTCCACCTTCCTCAGCTGCTACCTCCACCAGCCTTTCCAGCAGGCTACGTTGAAGGAGATGTAATAGAATAAGCCCTGCTTCTCCCTCAGTGGAGTACTTGATTTCTCTTCTTCCCTCCCCTGCCCTTTTTCTTGTGTGACATGTCTTTTTAGATGGTGAGCCTGTAGGCAGGGACTGTTTGGATTGACTGATTTCATGTAAGCCATTCTGGGAGGTATTTTGGCTGAGGAACAGGATATTAAATAACAATGATGATAGAGACCACTGAGGCAAAACACTCCCCCCCCGCCCCCGATCCAAAGCGTTTAGGCCCTTTCAGCAGCTGTGGTTTCATCTGAAATATTTATTCTGTGACTTCATTGTCATGAGAAGATGCTGCTATCCACTCATTTATCATATATTTCTATTTCTACCTTTTGTCTGGAAACTTTCAGCTGATAATAGGGTAGAAAAGCAAAAGAATAGAACTTGAATGTTCCATAATGAAGATCTGTCTGCGCAAAGGTTGCAAACATTTTAATTGGTGCCTTGTATAAGAGCATTTGGGGCAATTCTGATTTTAAACTTTAAGTAATACAGCTACAACACAACAGCTACAATAATAAGCAATACTTTTGATCTTTCAAGCAGCCCTGAGCAATCAGCTTTGAGTGGACAGAGCATGGCCATGGAGCATATCAGCTTTAGTTTAATACCCTCCATCTGACTGTTATTGCCTGAAAGTTTCCAAGCAAGTATTAGGTGAAATACTTTTAAGAGGATCACCAAATTTGATGCAGCAGAAATGGATATAGGGATCAGTTTGCAGATTCCACCTCAGGTATGGGGCAGGACTAGACGTTCCCTGCCACTCTTCACCATTTGCATTGTATTACTGGACTTTTAAAAGTACAGCTACCCCAGTCCAGCAGCAAGGTTCCTTACCAGAATCTGCAGACAGGTTAAATGCAATGCCAAGATACAGGAACTTGTCATCATGAGACTTATCTTCATAGCCAAGATCATTCGTCTCAAAGCCCTCAAGAACATGTGTGTCATTTTGTCCTTGGGCATTTCTGGCCCTCTGCTCTTGTTCTATGCCCTGTGTTGAGAAAAGCAGAACTCCCAGTAAAGCTCCATAGGGCACTCAGTGAGAAAGCAGGAAGGCACCTCTGACCTGCTGGCGTTAAGCTCTTCATCAGCCTTCATGGAGAGCTTAGAACAAGGGATCCCCACTCCACCACAATGGAGAATTTACTGTGTCCAGCCTGTGCAATACATCACAACTGGGGCTCTTTGCTAACAAATGACAGGCAAGCACAAGGACATGGGGCAGCCATCAGCCTCTTCCTCCTGTTCAGCAAATGGGGCAGCCACTACCATCACTGGGTAAACCTGCAGGGCAAGATCTTCAGCAGTGATGCCAGACAGCCCAAGTGGCAGCACACGCCCATCAGGGGTGGGTGAGGTGGGAGGAGAGCAGGCAATGGGTCAGGCTCGAGGGTCTCCAGCAGCACCTGTGGGCCCTGACAAAGTTGCCAGTCAGTTGTGTTGTGACACTGGGCCTGCATGACCACCACTGAAGGCACAGCATGCAGATGCAGGAACACAGTTTGTCCACTCAGGTAACGAGACACTGACAAAGTCAAAATATTCCTCAGCCACATAATCCAATGGCTACCTGCAGCCTTACTTTGAGATACATCCTGATTGTATGAATATGAAGGATTACTGCCTTGTTTGATAAAATTCTGCAGAATAGCGACAACCATATTTGGCAGCACAAGGACAGACCCTTCCACTGGAAATCCCCCTTGACACAGAGATCAATTTTAGCACCAACACAGACCTGCTTTACGGCTCCTAGAAGGCAGTAGTACTTTTTGGAGGTTCTGTATGATCTCTTGCACTTTAGGTAGGAAAGAGAGTAAAGTTCCTGCAATACACAGCTGCAGAATTACGCAACCAGAGAACTTCTGCAAACATTCACAGAAGTTGTAGTTTTCAACCTCTATTAAGCACCAAGTATATGCAACTCTGATTTTATACCAGATTTCTGGGCCAGTCACTTTGCCAACACATACCTTATGCATTTTGTCCTCAATTGTACAGATGTAGAGCCAGAGTAAGGCTTGAGCCTTGTCGTCTTGAAGCTGCACCTCATTCTGGGGGGTCTGTGGTACAGAGTCTAGCAGTCGCAGGGCTTCATGTATGGAGTCCAGGGCAGAGCTACAGGGAAGAAGACCAACAATACCTTGCATACATTAAGTGTAACACCCTTCTGGACAAATTGCGGGGCCTTCTTTTGCACGGGAGAAACAAACAGCTCGGCCAGGGATGGCATAGAGGACTTGAAACAAACCTTGACAAGCCTTTAGGATCTCAACTATGAGCACAGCATCCTTAAGGAGCCACCTGATCCTCTTAGCAAACCAAAATTATGATGTTAAAGACATTGCAAGAGGAAGAAAGGTGGGATAGAAATGCAAGGAACTTAACGCAGCTGAACCTGGAATCAAGGGAATTGCAAAATGTTCTAAAGCCTTGCAAGGCAGACTTCTTGTGCTGCACTGGGCTCATCCTGAAGATGATTGTTTTATACTAAACAAGACAAGTACATGCCATGCATGGCATTTACAGTTTCTCAGATCCACAAGCTTTTTTTCTTCAGTCCTTAGGTTAAAGATGGAAGGAGCAAACTCATGATTTGGCTAACATGCTGAGATTTTTAATTCTACAAAGGTCTCTCCAAACAAGGTACCCAATGGAGAGAGCTTTTTCTTAAAAAAAAAGGGAGTATATTAAAAAGTATATCCTGTAACAGAAGGAACTCATGCCCTGTATTTAAGTATCTGTTTAGGTCTTACTCCTACCATCTGAATTGAAAAACTGGAAGATAAGGGTGGGGGTACACTGGTCCAACACCTTTTGTTTCTTGAATGTCAGCTCAAGGACCAGTTCTCCAAAACAGCTCCTAGGGAGATTCCCAAGGATTACTAGGTGTTTTCTGGCGGATGGGGTAGGGAGGACTTTTGGATAAGCACATTTCTAAGTCTGTACAAGATTTCGTGTTCAGAAAACAATCTGGTGGTAATGTGTATTACTCTTTAATGACCTGCAGACAAACATTTCTGTTGACTCACTCCATACTGCTCACCCAAGCTTTTTCACTCCAGACACATACACTCTTTACTAAGAACTGTCAGGCTTCTGCTACACTCAGAATTTGAAACCAAATTTGAAACCAAGATGTGCAAATTAAGAATGTGAATGCTAAATAAGAAAATGAACAGGAATGCTGTTTGCAGTTGAGGTTAGTACAGTTTATTGCAGGAGTAATGGTGTATCGTGTCCTTGCCATTCTCCTCCAGCCTTTTAATAACCCTACATTTCGTTAAAATACTTTAAGAGTCTGCATTTTTCTAGGTATAATTTTCAACATTAGCCATCTGCGAACATAACCTCAAACAGAAGTTCTCAAACTGTGATCTGCAGATCAAAGACAGGCCTGGAGAGGATGAAAAGAGTTGAAAATATCTGTACTTGGCCCCACAAATTGGTTTATTTTTCTCTGACAAAGGCTAAGTCTGTTTTGACATGGGCAGCCCTTTGAGTGCTCTGAGCCGGAGGGTAGGGAAGGGCCAAGCCCACTGGCCACTCACCATTCTGTCTGCTCACTGTAGTCATGATAACACAACACCTGCGCCAGTTCCACCAGAATCACAGCCCGCTCATGGACCCAACTGCTGCCTTCCGAGCAGATGTCCAGCAGGTCGCAAATCACATTAAAGCGCTCTTGGCCGGTGTCCACCCGCACAGACTTGTAGGCCTTCAGTTCCTCCAACAGCACTGCCATGAGGATCTCGGAATCTAAGTCAAAACCTTCCAGGCCCTCCTTCAGAGTCCTGTGATGAACGTACAAGCTGGTCAGGAGCACAGGTTCGATCTGGGACAAAGCAGGGGGGCTACCAAGCAGACAGACCTGAAACTGTGCCGGGGGGGGGGCAGGGGATATGAAGTCTGCCCCCCTCCCCTGAGGTCAAGAACAAACTGCCTCACAAAATAACCTCTATCACTGAAGGAGTATGTGCTGGTAATCACAGAGGGCTTTTAAAAAAGCAGATAAGGTGGTATATAAATGTGAATTGAGAAAAAATGGGTGGAGCAGGCCACAAACAGCAGTCTACATGCAAAGGGCCTTGCTAGATATCACCTAGAACTCACAAGCAGCTAAAAAAGCCTTGGTTTCAGGGCTGGCATCTTGAGCTAAACAGCCTCTGTTCACCATGAGTAATAGTTGATAACTTGTGGAGAGTCTATATTAGTTGTTAATCCAATCCTAGGAGTCTCTCTACTCTTGTTTCTAAGTTGGTAGCCATCCCCAATCCTGTGATAGTGCCATTTCTTTAAATTAATTACATGACATGTGCCTGAACCTCCTGCCTCCATCCAACTCACATCTGACCCACAGCCGAGTTCTAATATGGCTGAAGTGCCCCCTTCCTCCCTACACCATTCAACATTTTTAAAGGCCTCATCCACACTTCTCAGCTGAAATGCACTAAACCAGGAATGGGCAAAATATTTGGAGGACCACAATCCTGATCAGCACCAGTGAGCTTAGCCACTGGTAAGGTATGCTACGAGTTACGGGCTATGATATCCAGATAGCCACACATTGCATACCCCTGTACTAAGTACTTGAACCCTTTTCTTCACAATCTAATCATACTATGTATTGTTATTTTATTATATTGTTTAACATTATAGCTACCATTCTCTCTTTCACCTCTCCATCTGCACAATATATATATTGGATTGGAGAACAGAACTACACACATATTGTGCCTATGCGATTCTCAGTGGAATCCCATAATGAGATTTCTAGAGTATATGCCCAACGGTTGGCATTTTGCTAGAGCATTCTCTAGATCAGCAGTTCCCAAACTTTTCCAGTCATGGAACCTTTCTGAAGACTCCCCCCCACCCCCCCGTGGAACCCTAAGTCTATCCCTGATTTTTACTAAGTATTGTGAACTCACAACATTCTTTCTTCTTTCATCTGCTCCTATTGCCTGAGTGCTTTGCATAATGTAGTAGGTTTGGAAATAAAGAGAAAATATTTTAAATATAACAAATAGGGCAATTATATGGTAATATCCCAAATGAATTCTTTTGGTTATTCCCAACACTATGCAATAGAGCCCTTGGAACCAAATGATGTGATTTCTTTCCTTGTTTGCCACCTTGAACACTGTTTTTGAAGTGAAAGAGCAGGATATAATTTTTCTAAAGAACATCATAAAGTTAAGGACAAATCCAGGGGGAACCCTCAATTTATCAGCTTCAAGTTGTAAGAGGCAAAGAACAACTCCCCATTCCATTCTAAGAGTTATACATCCATCTCTTGATATCCTTCTTACTTCAGTTTCAGGTCATCAGCCCCACTTTTGTTGGCATCCATTTTGACTTTGACCCAGGAGGAAATTGGCTCTGCCATCTGCTCAGGGATCTTGCTGCAATAAGAAGCCAGCCAGAGTACCACACTCTGGAGTGCCTCCTCTAACAAGCCAAGCTTCCTGTAGTTTTCCACTTGTATCTTAAAGCAGTTGTGTAGCTGTGAAGGGGAAGGAAAACATTCAAGAGGCACAGAGTACAGAACATCCAAGAGAAATATCAAATTCTCCCAATTCTCAAGCAAGAGCAAAAGCTATCACAACTACTCTAACCCAAGCCTTATGCCAAATGAGGGCAATTTGTACCCTTCCAGATGTTTTATAGGATAAGCAGCAAAGGGGTTGGGGGATAAGTTCCAGGTACAGTGAAAAAGTGCTGTTGTTGCCCTACACTTTTTGGAAATATCCTTCTTCAGGGGCTGTAAAGGAGCAAAACATATACAGATGTTCAAACAATACCCTCTGAGTTTGGAGGTATCACAATAGGACTGGGCCCTAAAGACATGATTTGCCAAAGCCCCTTTGCATAGGGGATCTGCACCCAATTCTACCCATTTCACTACACATAATTGGATTTGAGACATTCTCCGCAGAAAGGGGGGACCTGCCCAGAACTTGGGTAATACAGCAGTCTTGCTAGCCAGCAGAACTCCTGTAGTCAATGCAGTATTATCTGTGCTTCCAACATATCTGCTTATCATGCTACAAGGAAAATTTTACTACCTTTTCTGTAGGCAAATCTGGATATTTGAAGAGTTCCTCCTTGCTCAGCCAGCTGCAGAAAAGCTCCACTATAGAGTTTGACTCCTCATACATCTTATGAAAATAGAAGCTATAGGCCAGCCGGGACACACAATACGCTATTAGGAGAAAAAAAATGATATTGTTTATCTTAAGCAATCTTTCATAGTTATTCAGCCTACTTTTACACAGGACCCACCAAATAAGAGGTCTCCTTTTATGTCTTTCGATTGCAAACATCAACAGTGACTTGTTCTTGCATCATGCACCTCAATGCTTCTTGCCCGGGTCTAAATTGCTGAAGTGTCAAGAGGGAAGTCCAGCAAAATATCTGTTGTAGTCCACAACACTGGAAGGGGTAAGGAGTCCACTGCTTGCATCTTAGGCAATAGTATAAGGTTACATTTTGAAGCACAGGCCCTTATCAAAACAATGCCAATAGACTCCTGCTTGAGAAGTCTCCAAAATGGTAGGCACAAGCTCTATTGTGCCATGTGAACAAGCCAGTTCTAACCATTTTTCATCACCATTAAGAGCAGGGCTTTTGTAAAGCTAACTGGTCCAGGAATCATAGAATAGTAGAGTTGGAAGGGGCCATGAAGACCACCCCCCGCTGTTGCAGGACACCAAGTTACACCATCCCAACAGATGGCTGTCCAGTTTCTTTCTGAATGTCTGTAGTGAGGGAGAGCCCACCACCTCTCTTGGCAGCTGGTTCCACTGTCGTATTGCTCTGACAGTGAGGAAGCTTTTCCTGGTGTCCAGCCTGAATCTGGGTTATCTAACTGACTGTTCAAATCTAAGATGCTCCAAAATATTTTACAATATTCACAACTATATTTTGTGGCTGGGAAAATCCATTTCTCTCCAACTACTGTGAGGATTGCAACTAAGTTCAAACAAAAGAGGGTAGCATGAGGGCAGATGTCAGTTGTCATCCTCTCTGCTAATCCCCAAAGTTGCAGCAGTTTGACCTATGAGCCTTGACTCTACTAAAACATCAGTCCCAAGATATAGTGGCCAAAATGCCCAAGGAAGTGGGCCATGGTATATTCAGAGCTTCCAGTTACCCATCCCAGCTCCTGGTTATCAGAAATGCCAGCAGCATGTGTGCTCAACCACCCTGGAACCCAGGAATAATTGATCAGTGCTGTCCCCCGAATGAAGAGGGAAGGCTTGGGACCTCAGGCAACCAAATCTACTCATAATGAAGAACGCATTCCTATTTCTTTTTCATTAGGAAAGACAGTGACCTCCAACTGATCAAGATACAACTGCACCTCCTACCAACTTGAACAGTCAGAGGGAGATACGTGTCTACCTTGTACACCAACCTGAGAGATCCAGATATTCAGACCACTCTCTGACAGGAACATCTTCCAGCATTTCCAGCATCCAGGCAACAGTGCTCCGTATGGACACCAACAGCTGTGGCAGACAGGCAGACCTGGGTCCCTGTGAAATGCAAAGTGAAGCTTCAGAAGTAAAGGCAAGAACATCAAGGGCCAGCTCACATCCCATTGCAGAGAATCCACCACAGATGACAAACCATCCCCCTGATCCATCTTTAACCTCAGCTCTTAAGAGCATTGAGGGGCAGAGATTTTCCCAGACAATACTATGTTAAAGTTGCAAATGGGGAGAAGGAAAAGTTGCAAGTTTGGACACCCGCTCTTTAAAATGCCTTTGGGATGTCAGGAAAGCTATACTACATCTTTCTACCTCATATATTTCCTTTTAGGACAAGGGTGGGGAACCTCAGGCCTGTGGGACAACTAGAAATATGCTATCATCACTTTTTTCAGTTAATATGCCTGTCTGTGGCGGATGTGTCTAGCAGTTCTGTCAGTCCACACCTATCGACTCTATTCTAATGATCGCTTGTACAGAATCAGAAGTATTTCAAGGCCTGAGGCTATATTAAGATGTGTTGATTTGCACCCTTGGTAGGAACAAAACAGCTCGTCACACTTTAAATATATTTAAGCCCCCAAATAGGGGTTTCCAAGGCAACTTACTTTAAACTTAATTTTTCAATGATTTGTAAATTTAAAAATGACAATACAGTACATGTTTGTGTTTACAAGTATGAACATTATGTGAACAAAATCATGCATGAAGGAACCTAGTGTCTTTAGAAGTCATATTTCAAGTTTAGTGTTATAAACTAAATTTATGCAAGAAAATGGCAACATTTTATTTCGATTATCTTTTTCTCTCCACTGCTGCTGCTTAGGTTTTGTTTTGAAACAGCCAGATAAGCCCTTTAAAATAAAAGTACAAATCCAAATGACCACCCTTATTGAACCAGAAAGTCAAGCCAGAGCTGTATTCTCAAGCCTTGTAGAAAGACAGGGCTTAACATGCCACCTGAACAAGAGTTTGAACATCTGAGTTCCTCCACATGTTTTGAGCCACAACACCTTCATTTCCTACCACTGGCCATACAGGCTGGGGTTGTGGGAAATGTAGGCCACTTCAGAAGCTTTGGCCTACATTGGGGAAGGCTTTTCTAGAGGGATCAGGTAGGGAAGAATTCCCTGCAATGCTCTTTCAGAACTCATTTCTGTCTACTCTGACTAGTAGGCCAATATTTCTCCAGGTAAGATTCTTTCACAACTTTCACAACCCACCAGACCCTTTGACAGATGCTGGAAGTGTCTGCACCAGCAGAAACTTAAGCAACTGAAGGCCCTCACTCTGCCCAGTGGTGAAAATCTCAATCCTCCTTTCACATACACCAAAAGGTTTTTTTAATCTGTTGGGAAAAAGAGAGCTAATGAAGCCCTTCAGTGTCCTGACATACCTGCAGAGCCTGAAGACAGTCATATACCAGAGTTGTGTACAACTGGAAGTAGTGACAGATCAGCTTCCTCAGAGTTTGCTGCTGTTTTATGTTGTCTGATGGGACCTGTGGAAGAAGAAAAATGAAGCAGACCCGAACAATGCCATGACAAGTTTCACAAGGTTATTCAACACTTAATTGGCTGTCAGCCCTACTGAAAATTATACTGAAGTGTTGTACTTAGTGTTGGCAAAGGAACTGTGCTTCCTGACCAGTTCTGGTTATTTATACAATTTATTGATTTATCTACTATTCTTGGCTGCCTTCACAAAGATTTTCCAACAGCCTCCCTAAACCTAATGTCCCCTAGATCTTTTGAACTATAATTCCCGGCATTTTTGGCCAGTAGCCATGCTGGCTAGGACTGCACAGAGTGGAAATTTGAATTATCTGGAGGGTTCAAGGTTGGAAAAACCTCAAATATTTGTATCCTACAAATCCAACAGTGTATTGCACACGTGTGTACACATTAACTGCAAAAGCTCTGGTTTTTAAGCCAGCTGTCTTGACCTCATGATGGCAGAGCACAGATACCAAAGTATTTTTTTCCCACCCACTACAACCTCTTATCCACGTAGCCTGCTCAATTTGTATTTCAGCCATCCTCTCATGTGTCAAAAGTTTTCAAAGCCACAAGTGTTCTTAAATGAATCACATTTGCTTTCCTTAGTAAAGTTTGGCTCTGGAGAGGACCAAGACAAAGACTTTCAAGTCCTAGCTCTTCTCCAGTGCTCCTGGCACAGAGAGCTACATGTGAAAGGAGATAAAAACATTTCACTTACCAAATCCAGAAGCTTTTGGAGCAACCTGAAGTAACTTTTCATGAAAGCAGAGATCCCCAGAATGTCTTCCAAGTTAAAAAGGCTCTGTTTATCCTTCTTTGCATTTCCGTACAAAGGGGTGATGAGCAACTGGCAGCTTTCAGCCAGCACTCTAAGCAGGGCTTCTTGAGCATCCACTGAGTAGTTCAGAGCCTCGGCTGCTTGGATGAACAAAGGCCCTACTGAATCCTTAGCAAGAGCCAAGCCTCGGTGCAGTTCAACTCCAGCAGAGAGAACATCTAATGCGGCACGAAAGCAATTCTGTTTCAAGTAGCCAGCAGACTGCTGGAGAACTTCCATGCCTTCCCTGAAGCAGCAGCTTTTGCAGAGGTAACGGGATCTAATGACCATAAGCTCAAAGATGCAAAGGCAGTCTTGGAAGGTCAAAGGCTCATTCCCTCTCTTCCTTTCTAGAAAGGCAGCAACCAGGCGGTGGGAGAACTGCTCACTGAGAAAACGGGCCTCTTCTCTGCTCAGTGGAGACCGCTGGGCCTCAAACACAACAGCTGCAGCAAATGCATGCTGGGCCACCAAGGAGGTAAAGAAAGGAGGTTCCTGAAGCAAAGTGCTAGGGACATCATGCTGCAGAAGCACCAAGAAGCAAACTGCCTGCAGCTGGGTGGACAGCACAGCCCTGAAGTCTGCAGGAGTCTTGTCTGCTTTACCCATGACATCTGTACTCTTCCATAGCACACTAAAGGTACTCTTGGCAATAGAAGTATAATCATCAGCAGGCACCTGGGGAGGCTGGTATTTCAACAGTTCAGTATAAAGGAGCTGTGCAGACTTTAGGCACATATCAGACGGGCCCCGGGCAGCAACACCCCTCAGCAAGTGATGCAGCAGTCTTTCTAAATAGAGAGGAACATACTGATGCCTAGCTGCTGTGTAGCCATGATAGGCCATCTCAGCTAAGGCCTGGAGATGTCTCAAGTGAGCAGGGCAGTCCAAACCTTCCCCAAACTTATGAATACAAGCCCGTAGGATTCTGTCACATGCGGTCATCTGTTTGGAGGCTTGGCCTGTGCAATCTGCAGTTTCTGCTCCGCAGATGAGACATTCCTGAAATGAAGAGGAGGCCTTAACTGTTAATTAAGGATGTCTTAATTTTTTAAAAAGTTTTGCGGACTTGTTGATTTTGTATTTTTTTAAACCGAGAGCATCCCATAAAATTTCTATATTAAGCTTTACAAAACTCCCTAATTTTATCTCACCTTTTGACCAAAAAAGGCACTCAAAGTTACCAACAATAAAATTCTGATTAACAGATTAAAATACAGCAGAAAAACAAAGAACTATGCAACAAAAATTTAACTATAAAATAAACAGGACCAATGGATTAAAGTCTTTTTAGGAACAAAACAGGTTTAAGACACAATGTGGCATAATGATTAGAGTGTTGGACCAGGACTCGCTCTACTTAGCCATAAAGCTCACTGGGTGGCTTTGGGTTTGTCACTGATTGCCAGGTTAACCTACTTCACAAGGTTGTTGTGTAGATAAAACAGAAGAGGATGAAAAAAGGCAGCATACACAGACATGTGTATAAAATAAATGAATGATATGCCAAAGTCCAGCCTGAATAAATACATTTTTGCCTGCTGGCAGAAAGACAGCAGAACAGTGGTAAATCTAACCTCTGTCAGGAGAGGGAGTTTTAAGACCTTGGACACCCAATGGGAAGGCCATTGCTTGGAGTCTTCTCTGTGAACATGCCTCTGATGGCAGAGAGACTGACAGAAGGGCTTCCCCTAATGACTTTAACATATGGATAGGTTTGTATAGGAGAAGATGGTCTTTCAGATAGCCTGATCTCAAGAAGTATTTGGGCTTTATAGGTCATAACTAGCACTTTAAATAGTACCCAGAAACTGATTAACAGCCAGTGAAGTTGTACCAAGGGAGTCATATGTTCCATGTCAATAATCTGACCACCGCTTTCTGGACCAACTGAACTTTCCTCTTTTGCAGGTGAGTGATGATGTGTGGAAATAAAAATAAGATAAAGTTCATTATTCCAGGCCAAGCCCAGCCTCACTTCTGAACCCTGCAGTAGTGAGATTTCTTCCCCCAGTACACCACTACAGTGACCAGAGGAAGACTGTGAAGTACTCCATGCTAATTGCCCAAAGTCTAAAATGTGAATACCCTGGAGGATTAACTCAAACATCCTAGTGCTGGCAGTATCCAGTCAGATGTTTCCTGGAAACACTCATGTCATTTTGTCCCCTAAAAGCTAGAATATATGGAAGTACACAACTCCACAACCTGGAAGTTCTATTCATCCTAACCAATAGCCATCATGAGCTCATCCTCCATTAATTTGTTTTAAAGACGCACATACCAGCAGCACTCAGGACATCTTGTGGCCTTACCTTCAGCTCTGACAATAGAATTAGAGTCTCTTCGGGAGTGCTGATCCGAGTCAGAAAATCCACACTTTTGAGGTACTTCATCTTGCATTCTGCAGTAAGGGAAGAATATATGCATGAATCATTAGTCCACATGCAGCTGGATCCAAATGTATTTTTTTATCCCAATCTCAACCTGCTCCAAATGTACTTCTGTATTCTCCCCCCCCCCCACCCTCAATTAAAGTACAGAAGCATTACCCCCCTTCTCTGGGTCACACCTCTCTCCTAACATCTCTGCAGCAGCAACATTCATTTGCACCCAGTGGATTCCATCCTAACGGGAAGCAGTGCACTGGCAGATGCTGGGAAGCCACGAAGCACAAAAACTCAGTTGGGTCAGCCTATGCTAAACAAAGTGATAAAATCACAAATTCCCATATCTGAACAACTATCCCATAAGTCTTGCTTGCAGGTGGCTTCTTCTCATTACCTATAGCAACCATTCTGCCACCTGCGACTACCAAACATTGCCAGAATGTGTTTAAAAGTATATCTCAATCTGAAATAACAACTGTTCTGTTTTATGCAGCTGCAAGGCTCAGGTATAAAAGCCATATTTTTAAAATATGGGTGATGTGATAACTTGTTTCCTTCCACCACTCAGGTTGTCTTCCCATCCACAAAAGCTACAAACCAAACAGCAGTTACACCTAATAGTCCACCCTTTCCACTTGTCCCAATTCTGCTCAGTCACTTAGCATTCTCTAACATATGAAATACCTTTTCATAACAAGCGCTACATATAGTAAAATTCACATTATACAGAGCAGGTCCATTCTTCTATTACAAATAAACACACAAACTAAAAGCAGTAGTAGACAGATAATTCATTTATTCTTGCCATGCACACCCCTTTCCCCCTTTGCTACCCTTTCGTTGCCTTTTAAACTGCAGGTGCCTTGGGGCAAGAGACCTGCCTCTCATTCTTTTGGATGTACCATATATACAGGTAAAGGTTTCCCCCACACAAGATGCTAGTTGTCCCCAACTCCAGGAGCGGTGCTCATCTCCGTTTGTAAGCCAAAGAGCCAGCGTTCTTCGAGAAACGCTTCCGTGGACATGTGGCCGGCATGGGTGAACACTTTTGAGCACGGAACGCTGTTACTTTCCACCGAAGTGATACCTGTCTATCTGCTCACATCTGCATGCTTTCCAATTGCCATACAGATGGTGCTATATAAACTAAATGGATTCACATGCTACATTTGTTCACGCTGCACTTGGAAGTAAAATGAACACAAAGAAAAAATTAAATATGCAGCCTGTAAAGTAACCGCCCGTGCGGATGCAAGCTCAGACATTTTTAACCCAACCCCTACTCCTCCGTCGCCAAGTTCCTCCCTTTAAAAGCATCCACTGGGTCCCCCTTAACGCACCCTAAAAGGCTGGGATTCGAAATTCATCATCTTTAAATTCATAATTTAAAACCGGTTTAACAAGTATGGAGCCTCCCCAATAACTAAACCCCGGGATCCCTTTTTAGAATTACTGGTAAGAGGAGCTTTTGCATGTTTTCTTGTTCGATTTTTTTTTTTTTTGGGGGGGGGAGCGTGAAATGAAGTCTCAAAAAATCCAAATTTGTCGTGTCGACGCACTGACAACAGCATCACCGACCGTTACTCCCACGACCTTGCATTGAGTCTCCGGGCATCCCACCCGCTACCCCCGAAAGCCACCCCCAATTTCTCCCCCACAACCCAGCCTACCCGCTAACAGTGGGTCCGCTCCCCCAGCCGACTCCACGCTCCCTAAAGCGGCCACTCCCGGAGGCAACGTCACAGGCAGAATCGCGCCCCGCGTCGCGTTCAAATCGGCGCCCCCGGCCAATCACCAGCGCCGCAGCGAAGCTCCGCCTTTTTTTCCCTTCTGCTCGATCCTGTTGCTTGCTGGGAGGCTCCTAAGTAGCGCTCTACTAAGTCCTTTTCCAGCGAAGATTACGAGGGTCTTGTGGCTGTTAATAGCATAGCAGGTTCCGGCTGCAACTTCGGTGGGCTCCCGTCTTTTCCGACCTTTTAAATATTATTCTGCCAAGTTTTGCAGAGGGGTTTGGGGGGTATGGATGCTTGGTCCCCTATCTATCCATTGTACGTTTCAGTCGCCCAGTGACTGAAGGTTTCAGGGTTAGGGACAACGCAATTGAAAATAAATGCAAGCGTTTTCTGTCGCTGGTTTTCTTATATTTCTTTCCCGTGAGTGTGCGCGCGGCTACAACCACATTTTTAATTGTAAGGCGCCTTGCAAAGGCATGTCTTAAAAGGAAGAGTTACACTATGTTAGTCGTGAAGTCGTGTCCGACCCATCATAACCCCATCGACCCAGGCTCTCCTGTCCACCATCCCCCGGAGAGCACCTAAGCTCACACCGATATTAAATAGACACTCTTTTCCGAGGGTAAGCTCCATTGAATGTTTTAGCACTTCTGAGTAGATATGCATAGGTCCACGCTGTGAGCATGGTACAGCTATCATGAGCAGTCCGTTTTCCTCTGATCAGTGGAATAATCTTCCGCACCTAATAAATTGGTTTCTAGTCCACAAGGCCAGCTTAAATCTGCTAGTCCGTAAGGTGTCAGAAGACACTACATTCCTTTTTGTGAATCCTATGAATTGTGGGTTTGAATGCACTGCTGCTGGAACCAGGAGATATTTTACAGGGGAAAAGACTGCGCAGGCAGTTTGGTCAACAGGCCTCATTCCTTGCAAGTGTATTCATGCTGCCTGAGACTCAGGAGTAAGCTGCACTGACTTTAGTGTCACTGCTCCCAGGGTAGTGTGCCTAATCAAAATAGCCAGTCTATAGTGAGGCAGGAAATCCTTAAATGTAAGTCCTGCAGTGTGTACACTCAGGCAATACTCTTAGGCACATTTACCTGGGAGTAAGCCCCAATTAATTCAGTAGGGCTTTCTTCCGTGTAGACATGTGCAGAAATGTATGGTCAACGTGAAAGTCGGCTTAAAACCAGTGATACTTGAATTCGGGATGAATGCAGACGATGTACGGGTTCCTCAACACAGCCTTCTGTGCTGGACTCGCCTGGTTTGGTCATGCTGGCTGAGAATTAAACAAGTCGGGACGGTACCAGGGCCTTTTAAGTTCCAGCGACCATCCTGTCGTCTTTTAAAGTGCCACCAGGCGGCGTCTTTGGTTGTTTTTGCTGCAACGGACTAACATGGCTTCCCTTTAAGGCCAGAGGGAGAGGCCGCGTTTAGGCTTTGGCGAGAGGAGCCTTTTCCTGATGGTGGGTGACACCTTTAAGCCTCGCCGTCAAATAGAATGGGAAGGTGGCGTTCGCGGAGCTGGATGAAATCATAGAAGCCGTCGGGGCAACGGCAGTGCGCACGCGCAGCCGGCTTGTCCGCCTTGCCTTGTCCTGTATGCGCAGCAATTCTGCTCGACGGCTGCATTTGCTGCTGCAGCAGCGCGATGGCCGCCTCTTCCAGCAGCAAGCCACTGCAACCCGTCACTCACGTCATTTTTGACATGGATGGCACCCTCCTGAATACCGAAGCTCTTTATACGATTGTGTTCCAAGAGCTGTGCAACCGCTTTGGGAAGAAATTCACTTGGGAAGAGAAGGCCTTAATTATGGGCAGGAGGGAAGCTGAGGCAGTAGAGATCATGCGCAAGGTCCTCGACATCCCCTTAAGCGCCGAGGAAATCTTGCGTGAAACAACAGCGAGGAAAAAAGAATTATTTTCGACCTCCTCATTGCTGCCAGGTGTCGAAAGACTCCTCCGCCACCTCCATCGGCACAAGGTCCCCATTGCGGTCGCCACCAGCTCGGTCCGAGAGTACTACGAAATTAAAACAGGCCACCTCAAACCCGTCTTTGGGCTCTTTCATCATATTGTCACGGGAGATGACCCCGAAGTGAAAAACGGCAAGCCGGCCCCCGATATTTTCTTGGTCTGTGCGAATAGGTTTGAGCCTCCGGCGGCGCCAGGGAAGTGCCTCGTGTTTGAAGACGCACCCCACGGCGTCTCTGCGGCCCTTGCGGCTGGGATGCAAGTGATCATGGTGCCTGATGAAAACTTGAAGAAAGAACTTACTAAACAAGCAACCCTAACGCTGCAGTCGATGAATGACTTCAAGCCAGAAATGTTTGGCTTACCCAAATTCGATTGAAAATGGTCATCTTATCTTTGGCCTTCCTTACTGGATGAAAAACAACAACAACAACAACAACACAGAGTTGTTACTTTGACTCAAAGGGTTCATAATCCCTATGGTAATTATACGCTGCAATTGTGTAATTAAACTTACCGGATAACTCCTTTTTATTCATACCTACAGGGCACACCTGCTACAGCCACCTTTTCCAACCTAGCACCCTTCAAATTTTTAGAACTACAGTTCCAGGCATTCCTTGTGTTGATCATGCTGGGTGGGGCTGCCCAAAACATCTGGGGGACACCAAGTGGGAAAAGTAAAAGTAGCAGTGCATGACTTGGTACTCCTTCAGAGCAATTCCGTGAGGCATTAACAAGCATCTTTGCAGGCAGCCTTTCAACATAGAGGGTGCCTCAGCACTGTATAATCCATTCTCCCCTCGCATACACACTCCACTCATCACAATGATGGGCTTTCTATTACTACATAAAACATGTCTGCCGTTTATTGAATTAATTTCTGTATTGCTCAATAAACATAGCTCTCTGGGCAGTTTACAACAATTTTATTATTTTATAGATACTTGTATCCTGCCTGACACAACTCTGTTTTATCTTCACAACAACCATGTGAGCTAGATTACTCTAAGAATCTATGACTGGCCCAAGTTCCCAGGCCAACAACACACTGGCTGCCACACCACACTAAATTTCATTGTAATAGACATTTTTGTCCTCCAGACAAGATGCAAATTTAGCTTCAAATGACACCATACATTGTATAGCTAAGGGGCAGAGCTACCATATGTTTTTATAGAAATACAGGCTTAGAGCATCTGAGGAATAGTCTGATCTATTAGGTTGATTGAGGCAGCTATTCAAGGCTGTGGATTTTGGCTCACTGTGAACAGCAGCAAACGGTTAATTAAGAGGAGAGATACTTGGAGCATTCAGCCTCAAATAACAAAAGTAAGTAGATGGCTTTGGGTATGATGCACATTGGAGTTGTAGGGATGGAATGCCATTTAATGCTCTGCCTCAGGCAACAAAATGCATTAGAGTAGTCTTGTGTAGAAAGAAGTGTTTCAAAGCAATACTACAATGCAAACAGAAATTATCTTCTGTGAAAACAGTCCTTCTAACTTGCTACTGTCTGGCTGGCAGAGGCTCTCCAGGGTTTCATAGAAGCACAGAGTGAAAATGGACCTTGTGCACTTCAGGAGAAATTGAGCAAACTATAAAAAAATTAAAACAGGGATATTAAAAATACCCTGTTACAGAGTTGATGTAAGATTACTAATAAATATGAAGTACTTTCAAACTATTAAATATAGCATAACATCAGTAGAGTGTCAATGTTACATTCCCCTCACAGACTCATGTAATTTAGTAAATTTCCTTAAAAACAAAACCCAGAAAAGACTAGGATGAAAAAAACTTTGGTTTAAAGTAGGAATCTCAATTTGGGGGGGGGGGTGCTGCACACACTGGAATTTTTAGAGCGCTGTGGTTCTCTCATAAAATGATTGCCACAGGGGTCATTGGCCATTTATTAAATAGCTGTCATGGTTAGTGCGGCCAGTCCAAAACACCCATTTCCGAAAGTGGAAAATGGTAACACTTAAAAGTAATTTGCACCAAACCTTAAGGTAGGTCTAAGCTCCAAAACATAAAATCATAATTTAAAACCCCCAGTTTTCTGTTCCAACACTCATTCTTTCAGAAGGCAAATAAACAAAGCTCAGAAAGAAATGTCCTGGCTAATGGCAGAGTCCTGGAATTCCAGTTGTGAGAAATGAGCTCTTGGATCCACAGGGAAGACTTAATTATCTTGAACTTTAGTGGTTTATTGGTGGGATAACCCAGTCTCTTGCAGTAACTAACAACAGCATGCTCCCAGGTAGAGATTCACACAGCCCACTACAAGCTTTTAGAACATATACAGAGTATTTTATAGGTTCTGAGTGACATACACAGCAGCAGAGTAGATGATGTTGAAACAATGGGAACCAAGTCAAAAGACCTTGAGAGATCTGCAGAGGGGACTTAATACAGTAGTGTTGAATACGGGAATTGTCGTATCAATCAGAAAACATGTCATACACCCGGGTCATCTCTGCATTCCAGAAAGCAACCAGGGATTTGACAGAACCATCAGCCATATCAGCCGGAATATCCCCCAAAGCCCTCTGGAAACTATCCAGATCCATCAACCTCCAGGGGTTCACCATCTCTCCCCTGCAGAGGGGAAAGGTCACTAAGTCTCAACAGGACATGACCACGACAAGGGGACTGATTCAAAGCCTCCTACCTTTGGTTCATTATTATCCCACATGACTGAAAAAAACCAAATCTAGATTGTGTCCTCCTACATGTGTTCAGCAAATAACACGTTGGGACAGCCTCATGGTTGTCCTGGAATTCATGAGATCCTGAGTTGCTCCAAATAGCATGGATGTCAACATCCCCCAGGACTAGCAGCCCAGGTGATGTCAACTTTGCAGCTGAAACCACCTCTGTCAGCTCAGCTAGGGTTGGTGGTAAATGTCTGCACAATGGAAGGAATGCACTTCATCTCCACTCTCTACTAAACTGCATGCCATTAAAATCTAGGTGCCTTCTTTGGACTTGTCTTCTTCATCATCACAGATGAGTAAGCATTGTGCAAAAACAACTGTTTTGATCAGAGATGATTGTAGATTTCCATAGGGCCAGTCCTCTAGTCATGGAGATATATGGGCTATGCCAAAGCTTATTTGGAGGAGGATGAGGCATATAAATGTATTCTACTTACTAAATTTAAGTCTTCTAAAGTATGTTCGGTTATGAAACAGCTGATACAATAAGGAACTGGAACTAGTAACCAGCTTCAGCATCATTGCTTTCCCTGCCAATTGGCTCCATGCAACCCGGCAGGAAGCCATCAACTACTTGTAAGGAGCAGGGTACTAACTGTCAGCATGCCACCAAGGCCACACAGGTATAAGGCGAATTGTGGGCTAGTAACTTTTAGGGTTTATAGGGTTTATTTATAAGGCTACCTTGTCAACCAATTGTCACACAGAGTAGCAGACCACACACAGGCAACGGTACAAAAGAAAACAGAATGTGTTTCGATTGCTGTGCAAGCAATTCCAGGCAGGGGGAACTTGGCCTTCCAACAGCTCCTTTGTAGTCTGTAATCTTTCCTGGGTTTGCTCATAAATCCAGGTGATTTGGGCAATACCACATGCACAGCAAATATGACCAAGTTTCTCGTTTCACAACAACCTAGTAAAATATAGGCCATAATTAGTGGTATCCACCTAGTGACCCAGAGAGACTTTGTTAAAAAACAAAACCAAAAGCAATAAGCTGAGGATGAAAGCCAGTTTCTTTTTTAATAACAGGAGACTAATCATAAGTTTACTAAGTTGCCTCCTAGCCAGACAAAAGTCAATCCTGAACAATAGTGAATGTTTTTAAATTTTCTCAAGGATGGGAAAGAACTACAGATAGGATTATAAAAAGTAAGATACTGGCAGGCATTGTGTGAGGAACTGAGATCTGGAAGAAGGGACAATTCATGGTTAGAACATCCCTTTCACATCAGCTGCTTCTGTTCTTATCCAGTGGTATGCATGGTTAACTGTGCCCTACCCAGGAAGGGGGAAGCTAAATGAAAGCTCATTTAAGGCAAATTATAAGCATTCTACCCAACAAGTTAGTAAAAGCAAATAAAACCTAATTAGGTCTCTCTTACTCAATTATGCACATGCACACAGACTAGTCTATGAATAATAACAGGAGTCCTGATGAATGCATGCTTAGTTTTCATACAGCTTCCATACAGCCTGAAGTACCTGATTCTGCCTAATCTTGGAAGCTAAGCAGGGATGGTTCTGGTTGAAATCTGGATGGGCGACTTAAATATTGTGAACTGCTCAGAAAGCCTTGGGTATGAACAGTATAGAAATGTAATAATAGTTGGCTTTCAGATGAAGCATGCCCATATTATAGCACAGTGGTGGCAAACCTATGGCATGTATGCTGCAGTGGGCATGCAGAGCCCTGTCTGCATGCAAGCCAAGTCGCCCCAGCAGCCAAGTATCAGATAACAGCGTGCACAGGGGTCATGTGCATGGTTGGAAAGGAGTAGCAGCGCCAGGTGATGATGTCACGAGCCACGACTCATCGACTCATCCGAGCTTTCCCAAGGCCAGTCAGTGCGCTGCCGTGTGTGTGTGTGTGTGTGTGTGTGTGTGTGTGTGTGTGTGTGTGTGTTTGCTTGGACTGGCTGTGTGTTTTAATACATTCATTTTTATTAACACAAGATTTTAGCTTTTTCTTATGAAAAATTGAAATTTAATATCTAAGATTTAGCAGAGAGATGTTCTAATTAAGAGACTAAGATTCTTTTAATGTTGTGCTGTCCCCCTGGCATATCTGAATCTGCAGCATCATATTTAGTTGTTTGTGAAGAATTCAGTATTCAGGTTTTATTGCAGTGTTGGCACTTTGTGATAAATAAGTGGGTTTTGGGTTGAAGTTTGGGCACTCGGTCTCTAAAAGGTTTGCCATCACTGTTATAGCAGGTGCCATTGTGGAAAAGGCATTCCCTTCCATGCGGAGCAGCTGTCTCCAACTACCCAGTGCAGGGGCAAGAGTAAGAGATGAAGGAGGAAACCTGCCTCCCTTCGGTGAAGAATAGTGAGAGTTTTAGTCCACATATCTGATGGGCAGTAGGTTGTGAAAGGGTGAAGTGTATCAATGTCCTTTACTAAAAACTGTGTCCATCTCTAACTTTTCTAGTCTCAACTCCTTCACTTTGAAGTTTTATCTTGCCCTTTTCAGAGGCGGTTTATGACCAAAACTGAACACGTCCTATTTTCATATGTTTCAGTAAATGTGTCCAGGAAGAAAGGTTCCTTTTTTGCTTTTGTTTTTTCAAAGAACTGAAAGCTGGGACTCAGAAGGAAGAAACATTCTTATACATTATCACAGAGTGAAACAGATACCCAGTGTTACTGCAAAGAGTACCACAGCCCAGGACAGATTCCTGCATCAAGGAAGTAAAAATACTTCAGCTTCAAATCTATCAAACATTTGTCTGGACCTGGCAGATATTACCTCTAAAATAAACCAAGCAAGGCAAATAGCTTTATTTAATTTTATTTAAAAAAGCAGGACTGACAACAAAGAATTTGGCGGACATTGTGATCAAGTTCAATACTGATAATGGATAATTTAGTCAATCAGCCTCACTGCTCACTTTCTAAAAGGAGGGCCATGTCTTTTTAACCCATTACCTGTCACCATTGATCCAGGACGAAGTGGTAGTAAGTAGCCCTCCACCCCATGGTTCATTAGCAGAAGTCAAGATGCCTCAGCAGTCAAAAACTCCAAGGTGCAGAAAAGAAAATTAGGCTTGATTCAAACTGTCTGATATGGTCCGTTCTTTACTGGAAAGGGCAAAGGAATGTTCCCCCAACTCCCGTGTGGAAAGGGATGCTCATGCCTGAGCAGAGAAGCAGTTCTCCCTTTGCGGTTTCTCTGCCTACATACAGTACCAGCATTATGATATTTGACAGACAACTGGTTAGCTCTGGAACATCTTTCTCCAGAAAGGATTCCTAATGTATTGAGATTAGAGCTCAGGAGATGAGACTTCAGTTTGGCCTGGCTGGCTGGGCAACCTGAGCTCTGCATTGTTACGGACCACAGTGAAGAGGCTTACAACAGCCAAGAGGGCCATCACCATCATGACAGAGCAGATGGTGAACATATTCCTGGTGCCCGTCTTGTAGTCACTGTCATGGAGGATGAGCAGGCCAAGGCAGGCCAGCAGGTTTAATGGGACACGGAACCAGTGCATCACACCTGCCTGGTCCTTTTCAGGGATCACTTTCTGCCGAAGAAAGCCCATTGAAGGGAAGTAGAGCCCACAAGACAGCTCAATTAGTAGGAAGGCTAAGAATGATTCTGAAGGGTTCTCCTGCCCAGGATTGGTAGAGAAAGTCAGCATGAAGAGGGAGAAGAACACCATCAGAACTGAGAGGGAAAGGATGTGCATGGGCTGGAGGTGATACTTCTTGGAGGTTGCAATGCGGTAGAGTGATGAACCCACCATGCTGGCAGCCATGAAACTGGAGAAGACAATGCCCAAGGGGGGGTTATACGGATCCAGGACAGGGGTCCAGAGGAAGATGAAGATGTAGATTACACTTTCAAACAAGGCCTGGATGGTACCCAAAAGCAGGACCCGGCGGTCAGAAAGGAGGCACTTCAGTCCATCTGTACAGGTCCTAGACAGTGCTTTCTTCTTGCCATAGTTCTCATCCCAGTTCTTCATAGCCAAGATGCCAGCCAGCATGAGGAAGGGAATGGAGACCATGAAGGGGGCAACTGGGCCCAGGCCCAGCCATTCAGCAAAGACATTAGCTGCAACCCCAGCTGCAACAGCAATAACACTGTTCCAGAAGGCTGCCCTGGAGAAGGTGGCAGGAATCCACTCTGCTGGGAAGTCATGGTGCTCCACATGTTCATGGATGTACCAAGTCTCAAAGGCTGAGAACAGTAGGGCGGTGGACAGCCCCCCTAATATCCTTCCAACAATTAGCACAAAATAATCCCAGGAGAGCTTTGTCAGGCAACAAATAGAGTATGTCAAGGAGAAGAGGATGCAGGATTTCTTACGGCCCAGTCGATCAACCAAGGAAGTGGAGACCAGCCCAAACAGCACACTTGATGCAAAGCCACAGACATAAATGATGGCGATTTGGCCCTCCAAAAAGTGATAGTGCTGGTACAGTTTGTAAAGGTATGGTCCTTGCAACCAGTCAGCTGCAAGAGCCAGGAAGTAGACCTGGTAATAGTCTAACTGGAACTGCAGGAAGGCTGGGTTGGAGCAAGACCTACCAGTGAGTTTGGAGCGGCAGGCAGAGAACTCCAGGCCAATGCATATCACCAGAAGGAAAGCAAAAGCGACATAGGCAGCAATCAGCATGGTGCTTCAAATCATCATGTGCATTTCCCAAGATCTATATCCAACACACCTGAAAAAGAGCAACATATGTGACATGGAGGAAACAGTTATTACAGGTGACTCTGCAGAAAGGTTAGGAGGAAAGAACCTTTATTTGTTAATAATTTCCTTTTATCTTAATCTGGCTTACTGTTCAATATAGTTATCTGTGGCGCTCTTCTGCTTTCAAAGGGTTTAACCCCGTAAGTTGTATGCACATAGCCTAATTCATGCTTGTTTTCACACATGCTCACAAGGCATCACAACTTTTGAAATGTAATTAAATTGGGCATATCTTAAGTACATGTTTATAACAGAGTTCAGATCACCCTTTTGCCTACAGAATCATGTCCAGGTAGTCAGAACAGAAGAAAGAAGCTAACTTGTTCTTTTATGCAACTGATGTTCCATATATTCCTGTTTGTACTAGATGGTAATCAAATCGATTATTTAGACATAATCGCTAAGTAAAATATCACTTCAAAGCAATATAGTTCTGGGCCTCAGATGCTGGGCACAGAAGCCTCCCATATTTCTCTTGCAGAGAGAGTGCTGGATTGGATGCACTTTTGATCTTATCATGAAAAGCAATCCTTATGTTTACTACTATCAGCTAATTTACTTCTGTGAATATATAAGAAAGGCTAGTTTACTGTGCCCAAGTTAATTGTCCTACTGTTTCATCTTGGAATTTTTTGAACAATGAGTATGTTGATATCGAAAAGCAAAGGGTGAAATGCAGAGACAGAAATGCATTGAGTTTAGCTATAAGTTTCAAGATAGGGTTTGGTGGGGAGAGCAAGGGAGGGCATTCAAGTTATATGGAGCAAATCTTTTTTTTTTGAACGCCCTTCCCTACTACCATCCGGGTAGAGATTTCCCACCTACAAGAAAGTTGACATTGTTCAGGTATCCCAATTTCACTCCAGTTCACAGATTCCAAACATGGACAGAAAGAGCCCATAAAGTCATCCAGTACAGAAGAGAAAGATGCTGCCTGCAACATGACTACTTAAATGTGGAGTAAGCTTCTTGATTGTTTAGTTAAAGAGAACTGTTGTATAGGGAAAAAATGACCATGGCTGTAGTCAAGATTTGCCTTGCCCCAACGGGGTTCTGGCAAAGCCAGAAAGACAAGGAGTAGCTAGGATAGAGAAATCACAGGGAGTCATTCTGCCAGAAGTTAAGAAAGCATGAAGCTGCCTGATTTTGAGGTTATCAGCTCCAAGTTTCCTAATGCTGTTTGCTACGACTCCCTCATGAGCAGTAAAAAACAAGCTCTACCAGCTGAACTAGCCATCTCTCTTCCACCACCAATCTAAGAGGCAACAAAGGGAATGTTTTGCTGGACTGTTATAATGTCTAAAGACCCTTTTAGAACCTATCCTTATGTTTCCCCTAAGTTTACAACCAGGAGAGAGAAATCATTAACAACTCCTCACACTATCACTGTGATATTATTGCAGCAATCTTAAATTATCACTTCCATGCAGTTGAATGCTACAGCCAGCCATTCAGCTTTAGCTCTAGCTCTCATGCAAACCTCTATCAAAGCCTTCCCTAATCCATACCCCACCTTAATTCCTTACAAATATAAACAATGAAAACTAGAAAAGCCACTTTGAACTCAAGACTCCAGAAAGGGATTAAAAACATTTCTTCATGTATTCCCATTGCTCTGCACCAATCACTAATCCCAATATCATCAGGTATTCCTGACAAAGAGATACCCTGATTTTCAGTTACCAGTTCAACAACAGTTAACAACTTTTCAAATTACACTGAACTCTTCCTCAGCTTCATGAGCCATTAACGAGTAATGCTAGGACATAATTGCAGCACTGAAAGCTGATACATTTGGTGGCACTGCGCACATAATATTCCAACATCAGTTCCTCAGTTTTAGAACAGGAACCCTCATAAGTGTGTTATAAAGTGGAGGAGATAAGGGCCTCTTTTATTGTGACTTTAAAAGGAACAGCCTGTTTATATTTATATCCTGCCTTTGTCAACTGTTTGTACTTCTATTAAAACCACTCATCGCAGGTGGGTGCCCCCTCGGTCCATATGAGACACTGAATCCAGGAATACCATTGCCATCTGCGCTGGCGTAGATTGCTACTCTGAGAAATAACAGCCCACCCCGCCAAGCTCCCCGGCTTTCCCAGACTAGTCCCAAGGGAATTTCTGACTCTGCATTCCGGACGAGCTCAGATTTAAGCAAGAGATGCCGCCCTCTCCTCTTGATTTAGATCGCCCCCAATCCTTTCGCGAGGCTTCCTCGAGCGACCCACCTGCTCACTGCAGGCTCCCGCCATCACACGCTCTCCCGTTACCAACCTGCCCAGGTGTCCACTCAAGCCCCGTCTTCCCTAGGCGTGCTTACGCCGCACCAGCAACGCTTCACTTTCCCTTCCGCTTCCGCCTGGAAAGACTCGCCAAGCGCAGCGACCGGAGCGGCGCGCCCGCAGTCGCCATGCTGCTGGTCACATGACGCAAAGCCACCAGCTACGAAAGGCCTTTTCGAGGCGACGCCCGGCGCCCTGAGGCAGGGACGCAATTCGTGGCTGGCTCTACTGAGCAGAAATATGCGTTTAGCCTACAACTCCCATCGTGCCTCAGCGTAAGTATGCTTCCTAGGCCTGATGGGAGTTGTAGGTCAGGGCCCTTTCACCGCAGAATTTGTTATAACCACTTTGACTTTAATAGTGGGGCTTACTTCCGAGTAAGCATGTGCAAGATTGCGTTTTTATTCCCTGTAGTTTATGATAAGAGCCAGTGTGGTGTAATGGTTAAGAGCCAAGTAGGTGATTTTGAGACAGTCACCCACTGTTTCAAAGACTCAGCCCAGCCTACCTCACAGGGTTCTTGTTGTGAGGATAAAATTGTGAGCAGGCACGGCATAATGATGTAAGCCTCTCTGAGTTCGTTGTAAGGAAAAAGCGGGATATAAAACTCATAATGAATACATAAAGTATTGCTAAATCTTCTTTCTGACCAGCAACTACTGTAACCGGTTGAGAGGCAGCCTACTTCTAATGCTGAGGTGCTGCATCCTGATGCCACGTTCCTTTCTCTGTTATGTGAGTGGGGAGCAGGATCGTCAGCTTAAAAAAAGAAGAATCCCGTCCTCGTGTTTGTGATTCTGATAACAGTTTGCAGCTAACCCTATCTCGATTTGTCCATGTAGGAGAAGGAGAGGGTGGAGAGATTGCACCATTCCACTTCCGAGTGCCTCCCACTTGACAAACTCAGTGCAAATAGAAGAGTGATAAGGTTGATAAAGACCATCTGGCAGGTAGGTTGCCATCTAGACTAGAGCTTTGCATGCTGCGCTAGGCTTTTTTTTTTTTTTTTTTGCAAAGGGTTCTTAACGTGCTGCAACCAAGCATCAGAGCTACAAATTAGTATAGGCGCGCGTCTGAGCTACAAATTAGTATAGGCAAGGGGAATCCAATGATGGGGTGGACAGAAGTAGATCGAGATCTACCAATCCGTGACTGACAACAGCTGTGCAAAAGGTTTGACCTCTGCTTGTTTAACAGCCGGCAAGCACAAAGAAGCTTTCTCCCCACTTCTTACCTGTGCTGACAAGGGCAGGTCCAGGAGATGTTATTACCTGAGGCGAACTTTGTTTTGAATAAAGCCTGAGGCGAACCAACAGACAGGACTAGCAACATCGGCTACAGCATAGTGTCCAGTCCTCCACTATATCGGAGAGCAGTAAACTAGCTTAGGGGATAACCGGGAAGGTTGGGTGGGGCAAATAGCTGTGTCTCCACCATCTTGCAACTTTGCACCCTCAAACGTCTGGCAATGTGATGAACATCGGGGGGGGGGGGTGCATCTCACTCCACTTGTCCACACTGCTGAGATGAAGAAAGTTTGTAACTCTAGGCATGGATTTTGTGTGTATGGAATGACTGTGAGCTAAGTTGAAGCACTTAACAGAAATCCTAGGCTAAGCAGGTACTTAAAAGCACCTTGATATTGAATTCTGGGTACAGTCCTTCCAGATCAGGCTGTTATTATGCACTCGGTTTGCTGGAAACACAGAATATTACCTTGAGGGGATTGTGTGAGAGGGTATGACATCATCTTGTCATGTGATCTACTATTTTCCTACCCTCTCCTAACCTTTTTTTTTTACCATAGAAAATGTGTTAAGAAAGAAAAGATAGAATAGATTTCCCGACATCTTTTGATTGGTAGCACTGTCTAAAAGTGTCCTCTGGGTTTACCTTCTTGAGGAACTATTTTGTGTCTGGTTCAAGTTGGGTGTTCTTAATAAATAGAAGAAAAAAGAGAAAAATCTGCAGACTCGATGCTTATCTACACCTGCCCTACGAAGCCCAAAGTCAATTTCAGCTAGTCAAGATTCTTTCTTTCTCTGTGTATTTTATACGAGCATAAACAGCACTAACCAAACAATATTTAACTATGTAGCATTATAGGTCATATCCCTATGCCACACTACAATTTTTTAAAAAAAGTCTTCAGAGTGCCTCAGAAAATAAAACAGGTTGAAAACAATTACTACAATAGTAGTAATAAAAATCAACATGGCTTCCATAAGGGGAAGTTTTGTCTCATTAATTTACTGGAGTACTTTGAGAGTGTCAATAAACATGTAGAAAGGGTCAATCCAGAGTAGACATTGTTTACTTGGACTTCCAAATGGCCTTTAACAAAGTTCCTCACCAAAGGTTCCGTTCAAACTAAGTAGTCATGGAATAAAAGGGGGGGGGGGGGAGGTTCCCTTATGGATCACAAACTGGTTAAAGAACAGAAGGTGGGAATAAATGGCAATTTCTCCCAATGAAGATGTGTAAACAATAGAATCCTACAGGGCTCTGTATTGGGACCAATACTTTTCAACCTATTCATAAATGATCTGGAATTAGGAATAAACAGTGAAGTGGCCAAGTTTGCTGATGACACTACAATAGGAATAATTTAAAATACCTAGGGAGTGAGAAAATCAAAACTAAAAGGGATCTCTCCAAGCTGGGAGAATTGCCATCAAAATGGCAAGTGAAGTTCAGTATAAGCTGGTGTAAAGTAATGCATGTTGGGGCAAAAAATCCTAAATTCAAGTGTACGCCTATGGGATCAAAGTTAGCAGTGACTGAACAAGAAAGGGATCTTGGAGTAGTAGTGGACAGCTCAATTAAAATGTTGGCCCAGTGTGTAGCTGCTGTGATAAAGGCAAACTCCATGTTAGGTATAATAAGAAAGAGAACAGAAAATAGAACTGCCAAAACCTTACTCCCATTATACAAATCTTTGGTACAACCACACTTAGAATATTGTGTTCAGTTCTGGTTGCATCACCTGAAAAAGGTCATTATCGATTCAGTAAAAGTACAGAGAAGGGCAACAAAAATGATAAGGGGGCTACAGCAGTTCCACTATGAGGAGTGGCTACAATAACGGGGTCTGTTTAGCTTAGAAAAATTGTGAGTAAGGTGAGACCTGTAAATATTATACAAGGTTGTTGGCAATGGGAAAGAGCATTGCTGAATTATCTGTAAGCTGCCTAGCAATTATAGGTGGCCTATAAATACTTGTATAAATAAATAATTATATGGTACTATATTAAGTGTGCAGTGAAACTTCAGTTTTAATTCTGCATTTAATAAATTAAATTAATGCAATATAATAATAATAATTCTGCTGCCTGCTGACTGAAGAAAAACAATGCCTCCACATTGCTAAAGGACCATAATGTAGAAGTAACCAATGGGGTTGTTTCCACAGCATGACAGCCCTTTGTGACTTATTAACCAGTGGTGAGCCTGCTGTACATGCAGGGTCCATCTGGTCACTATTTGTATATCCAACATCCATTCAGTGGTTGTCATCTTACATGAACATGGTGTGTATAATGTGAGGGTTAAATAAGGGTCTGTTTAGGGTTGTGTGAGGGTTGTTTTTATTACCAGCATTCTTATGGGGTTCAGATGACATGCCTGTGGGCAACAGATTGTGTGGGCAATGCCATTTGGAGGCTGCTATGTTGTGCTCTTCTGAAGAGATTCGATCTAAGTCCAGCTCCAGGAACTAGGAACTGACCTAATGTCCTCCAAATACATTGAAGTAGAAATGCCATCACCCACAGCCAGCCCTACACTGGCCAGGGATGATGAGAGTTGTGGTACAACACATCAGGAGAGCTGTGAGGTGGAGAATGCTGAGCTAGGAGATCCTGAAAATCCAAGAGTCCCCACTTCACATCTCACCACAGCTATCGAATCACTAGGTGGTCTTCAAGGTGGCATTTTCTCTCAGCCTCAGTTCCCTACTTGCAGCAGTCTAGGGATGAGACTACTGACCAACTTCACAAGATGGTTATACTGGTTGCTGAAGGAATGTGTGTAAAGCACTCTGAAAGGACTCTGAAAGGGTTCCGCATAACATAACATCAAGAAAACATGTGAAATCCATATGCACACGTGTTTAATGCTTGCACAAATGTGCTTTCTTGGTAGAAGCTCTGTAATTCATGCAAAAGGGCCTTTTATTATGTCAGACAACTAAAGTTTACTTTCGTCCACCAGGTGGCAGAAAATACACATCCAAATAGGCTGACTCAGTTTCTAGTATTTTCTTTACATGAGGTGAAAGGAATTGGAGGGTTGGAGAACTTCTCCTCCGCTACCCTGATGTTACTGGGCTACAACTCTCATGATCCTTCTTTATTGACCATGTTAGCTGGGGCTTATGGGACTTGGGAGACCAACAAATGTTTGGAGGGCCATGAATTCCCCACCCCTGGTATTTTGGGATAAAGGCTTGGTAATTATCTTGGCTTTGGCCATATAATAGCATGGTTCTGCTTGGGAGTCAGTACTGATCTGAGGAGCCTAATATACCTCTGACTTCTGTCTGCCCAGGAACCATCTGGGAATTAATAATTCTGGTAATTTCTCCTCACTACTAAGCTGCTGTTTGCACTAGGATACATGTGTCAGTGAAAACCCAGTGACAGTTGTACTTTTCATTGATGTTTAACAGGCAAAAATCCATCTGATTAAGCTTTTTTCATCATTACATCACTATGCCAAGAAAGCCTCCCTCACTAATTTTCAATGATTGATCAAAGGAAAGGACCTGGCCAGGAAAAACAAATCAGCAACCTGAATTTTCATCTGTGACTCTGTGTCCTTCCATGCTGAGCTGGAATGTTTTGCTCTCCTTAGATCTCTGGATTTTTTCTACCAGTGTTCTGTGTGTTTTAGAGGATTTCTGACTGTCAGAAATTCAACAAGTGAGACTCTCTCTTACCTCTCTACACAGAGAAAGTATGCCTATTGATTTTTTTTCTCTCTGCCAGATAGCAAAGATATTTTCCCTATCAGGAAAAAAGTTGTCAGCAGTGGGTATGTGAGTAATTTTGCTCCTTCTGCAAGGCACATAAGTACAATATGTAAGATACTTGTTTTCTACCAGCTCCTGGTTATGCTGAGATCTCAGCA